TGGCGGAATTTTTGGTTTAATAAATTCTTTTAAATTATTAATAAAAATTAAAATAATTTTATAACCATATCTATTCAATGTATAGAATAATGATAATCTGTATAATCGTTGAATTGTTGTATAAGCTGGATGAAGCAATATAATAAGTGATTTGTCTTGATCATTAAATAAAGTATAATGAATTTAAATTATAAAATCAACATTATATAAATTATAGATTAAATGGTAAATGTTATAAATGCTCAAAATACTCGCAATAAAATATCCAAATAATTTTAAGAACCAATTCTGATATAACTGTATTTGATATATTTCATGAAAACATTTTAAATAATGATTTCTTTGATAAAATCAACTTGATAATTGCTTATTATTGTATTATAAATCAAAATCGTTTTTAAAATATCAATTATTAGCGTAAAACTGTAACAAAATGTTGACAAAAACATGGTTAGACTATAATATCTACGTACTATGCAATAAGGAATGGGTACTAGTCTATTTATAATACATGTGCTAATTTTTTATACAAGAAAACCTATTTAATAAATTTAATTATAATGATTTTATAGTTACGAACCAATCAAATAGTTATTTATAGTTGAAATAAAACTCTTTTAAAGTGACCCTTATTAGGCTGCAACACGCTGTACATACGCACGCCTAGGGGGAGGGGATCATGGCAAAGCGTATGTCCCCATGTTAAACTCCTATGCACAATGGGCGTTTAGGGGGGAGAGGGTCAATTTTTAACCAAAATTTTGCGTACGTACTTTATGGATAACGCCTTATTGAAAAAACATAATAAATTTACAAACATTTCATATAAATAATAAAATAATTTAATAAATAGTTTACTGTGTATGTCGTTATAACCATCACAACAGTCTAATACTAATTCTCAAAATGGCAATTTTAGTGAACTATTATATCTACTGTACTTGTAATAATTTGATCTGAATAAATTTAATATTTTTGTAAATATTGAGTTGTTCGAAAAGTCTTTGGACTGTAATTTTCTCGAAAACTAGATCAAATAAAAATAATTTAAAAATATACTTTTTTCGTTTTTTAATGGTCTTCCTTTTCCCGAAGACACAGATATGTTACTGTAAAGGGCTGGTATGGGGACTGGTACCTGGTCTAGAGCAAAAACTATAAGTCCTAGAGGGAATTTAAGTACACCATTCGAAAGAGCCTTAAAAAATACGGATACATGCCCTTAATGAATTTTCTCTATAATGAATAGTTTTTGGCCAGGGAGGACGGGTATACCATTTAAACCGAGTTTTTAATTATTTTAGAAGCAAGAGGGATTGGAATATAGCAAAGTTATGATATGGAAAATGTAAGGAATTAAATCCTCTATCATATGAAAATTTGAAAAATAATTTGGTAATATATAGAACTGGGAGGAAAGGTAGGTTTACTGTAGATTTACTATAGATCACAGCCCAAATCTAATTAGTGGGTTAGATAAAGTTTCGAAAATGAACAAGATTCACATTTTAAATTTTTTAAATATTTTAATAAATATACGCGCTAGAACATTTTAAAATTAATACAATTAAATTAAATTATGACTTTAAAATATATATTACATTTTTAATTATATCAATAATTATTAATGAGAATAATAATATTTAAAATATCAATATCAACTGCACTATTATTTGTAAACTAACACACTTATCAATCGTAATATTCGTACATGCCCGAATACTCGTACATGCCGGAATATTAATAAATGATGAAATATTCGTGAATGCTAAAATATTCATACATGCCGGAATATTCGTACATGCCCGAATACTCGGAAATGCCGGAATATTTGTAAATGATGGATTATTCGTAAATGCTAAAATATTTGTAAATTGACGTATTAATATAAAATTAACAAATTATTAGTAATAAACTAAAATTTATTGAATCAATATTTTAAAACATTATTAAACTATTAAACAAAATTTCAATTAATCAATTATATAGTGGCCATCATTATAATTTGTTGCCATTTTATTGGCAGATTCTCAATTCCTCTTTGGAAAAACGATTGGGGTTTGGATGACAAATATTCAATTGAGGCCATAATTTCATCGTTATTATTAAACGTCTTGCCGTCCAACCAATTTTGAAACGATCGAAATAAGTGGTAATCTGATGGTGCTATATAAAATATTAACAAAAATT